GTAAAGAACTTGCAGTTTGGGAGCTGGGATTTTTTGTTGGGATTGCAAAAGCTAGATGATTGAAATCATAGGGGGCAAGTTTCAAGGGAAATCTTTTAAAGATTGAGCCTTTTACTAAGAAAGCCTTTTCAAACACGAGTTGAGTTTTTTTTGGGGGGGCAACCAGGAATCTTTATTTAGGGGGGGGGGGGCCTCTAACTATTTTTTTCAACCCCCAAGTACTACCCCCCTTGTGGGGTTGATTGGGGGCCACTTTTTAAACAAGAGTATGTAAAGAATTCGCAGTTTGGGAGCTAGTATTTCTTGTAGATCTGAAATTTTAAGGCATGCGAGGCAGATGCTGACCAATCAGACAAGCTAGTGGAAGAGGTTGAAATGATGCTAGCAGGTGTGTGTGTGTGTGTTGTTTGGTGCGTTTTTGTGAGTGTGTGGATTCCCCGCCAAAAAATCACAAAAATCAGCATAACTTTATTACTGGGGGATTTATTAATCAGTGCCGGCCCACAACATAACTTTAATCGGGGGAGGTTGTTTTAATCATAGGTCGACATTAAGCCAAAACTATAGTCAGGTTGAATGTGGACTGAGCGCAAAAACAGTGTCGCAAAGCAATTTTGTTTATGGAGAACGGTGTGACCCATGGGATAGGATTGTTGGAGAATGGGGGATCACTAAATAGAATTTATTTTACTGGAAATGTTTTTCAGGGAAAGCGCAAATGGAAGATCTGTGTCGGACATCCCCCTTCGCAGCCGCCAGGTGCCTTTCCGCCTGTCGCCAGAAGCTGCGCGCGTGTGGAGCCCGGCCGAGATTCGGCCGGGAGGGCCGGACATGACAGCCGGGCCTAGAAATATGCTTCAAAAAAGCTGTTTGTCAGAAGTTGTTGAAGTTGTACCACCAGACCCTGAAACATACCCCTTCAGGACAGAACAAAATTCAAGGGATTGTGGGTTGTAAGCTTAAAATGGCTGTTTTGTTTGGTTGGTCGCTTTGTTTTGTCAATTTGTTTGTGTGCCTGTCAGTTTTGTATCTTTGTACGATTGTATCTATGTTAGCTTGCATGTTTGCATTTGCAGGCTTCTGCATTACATAATTTGTTTTAACGCGTGTATGCGTTAAGTCCATATGTTGAAACTGCCTTTTGGTGTTTGCAACCCGGGTGTTACTCAGATGGCTTTGTTATCAACATTGCCAGCTTTCGGTTGCTTTATGAACAAGTCACCGCTCAGGTGACCCCTAGCTGGTCGTTTGGGGAAGGTGAACGGGAAACCACCGCCAAAAACCAGCCATTCGCGGGAAGCGGATTTTAGTTCTCATTCATGTTGACCTCGGGCAGAAAAAACCGCAGGGGTGTTCCCCTCCAAAAGTGACTCCCAGACCCAGGGACTCCCAGCTAATATATCAGCTGGGGTTGAATTTGGGCTCATGGGACACCGATTGTAGCCCCCCCCGTTGGTTCCTGAGCCCGTGGCTCGGCGTGCCTAGGTCTTAGCCGCGTGCGGGGTGGAGCGCAATAGCAAGTGCCCGGGCCCTCGGACAATTCGGCGGGCAACATCCAAAAGCGCCCAGGCAATTCTGCAGTTCTGCGCTCTTCCCGGGTGGATTTGGGACCCAGACTTCCAGTAACATGTGCTTCCTTTTTGGAGGGGCCGTCCGCGTGTTCAAACATTAGATTCGATCGGTTTCCTTTGAGTTTGCTTTGGCCTCGGCCATCGATCCCTGTGCTCGGGTCTTTCAATGTGTGGCTCCCTGGCCTGGCACCTGAAGGGGAACTTCCTGGCCCAGTCCCCCTAGCATGGCACCTGAAGGGGAACTTCCTGGCCCAGTCCATCTTCAAGATAAACTTCCATGTCCAGTTTGTGAGTTACAAGATGTGTTTCCCAGACTGCAAGGTGATCAGGGGCGAACAGACGACCTTCATGGATTGTTGCTTAAGGTATTTTTTGGGACAACAGCAGGTGGGCGCCCTGCAAACCCACAAAGGCTGCTAGAAGAGGGCTTATTGGGCTACATTTGTCGAGTCTGTATCTGTGGAAAACATGGAAGCGGTCGTTCCCGCCCCCCCCCCCCCCCCCCTCGCCCCCCTTCCCCATTGAACAAAAGTTTGCCCCCTTGTAGGTAAGGAGGGAAATGTAAGTAGGGCCTTTTGTTTTTTTCATCGGCCGGGGATGCGTTCGGCGTTCCCATCCTGAAGCGATCCAGGCTTTACCACGCAGCCGGAGAGTTTGCAGGCTGGGATCAAGCAGGTCTGGTCTCCGAGAGCTTGTTGACCCCGGATCTCTTTGTCCGGGGACACCGGGGACCCGATCGAAGGGAACCCCGGTGGGTTCGTTTGAAACCCTCACCACTTTATTAGGTTCTTGTTCCTGCTCACCCTAGGTTTGACCCAAGTCAAGAGGTGGATTCCAGTTTTGAGCGCAGGGCCAGCCAGGATTGGGGTGTCACTGAATAATAGTAAATCTGTCAACTGTTGAAGGGGTAGAAGCGGAACTCCAGCTGCCTCCGTGCGGGGCCAGTAGGTTCTTTCTGGACATGGCATCCGTTTCACGTGGTCAAGCACTGGCGACCTTTTGTAGGTTTCGCTTTTACGGTGAGATTTTAGAATTAAATGGGCCACGTTTCACTCAGATGGTAAGCAGCTTCGGTTGAAGCAGAGCTCCTGAGCAACGCCCCATGCATTGCCCTCCCAAGTAACAGCAGGAACCGTTCGAAGTTTCGTGGAATCGGTCCTGGTTTGGACCATTTTCCTTTTAAAGGGACCGGGTCCCGAACGTCAGGTTCCATGTCTGGTGGGAGGGTAATACATGTTGTCTCTTGCGATGTCTTGCTGGAAATGAGAGGTCGCGCAAATGGAGTCTGTCAGTGTGAGGCATGCCAAAGGTTCTTGGCAGTATTCTCCTCAAAGACGCAAAAGACAGTCCTCAAAGAAGATCCCCTTTAGTATTCATGGTTGGTCTTCTGACCGAATCGCCTTAGACCTTGTGGACCATGGGTTTCCCATGAAAACTTTTTGCTTCACGGGGAGCAGTCCCCTCAAAATGGAATTGGGGAGACGGGTTACCTCCACTTCCCTGGAGATCTTCATTTAGAGTTCCATGTTCCGTATGGGGAAGACTAACAAGCATGGAATAGGGAAGCCTCCACCCCCTCCCCCAGATAAGCAGAACGGGATGTAAGGTATGTGTTTTTGTCCAAGGCTCCCATGTCCATTTGCAGAATCCGCCTAGGGGGCACCTAGATCGAAGTATGAGACACCTCAAGCGACCATACTCAGTTGTTCAGTAGCACCCTTTTTCCATTTTCTTGGTGGCTGCCCCACTAAAATGATCTTCCCCAAAAAAAGGTTCCCTGTTTTTCCAGGGTCACTGAACAACTGAGCAGCTTCTCGGCGGAAAAAACAACACTTTTGACCCGTCAGGTTTTCTGAGAAAATTCCACGCTCCAAGGTGATCGCCTTTTCCCAGGTCCCACCGGGGATTCTCCCCCAATTTGGGGGTCCATGTCCTGGCTCTAAAGGCTTCAGAAGTAGTTCCCCTTCTTATGGCTGTTTGCCTTTGTGGGGTCCCTTTGTTTTCCACTAACCAGGCAAAAACTATATATTTTTGCTGGGGTCCCTTTGTTCAGCCAAGAAAGGTGAACCTAAAAATGGACCAGGTCCAAACTGGGGACAAGAAACGGACCCAGTTGACGACTTAGCATTTGCAGCCACTTGCAGGTGCTGGAAAGCGCCTGCCAGATCCTTCGCCAGCTCTTGTCAGCCGCCTCATACAGGCTCTTTTCCACGTTTTCCAGAGGGCGCAAGAAAAGGGGCTGCAGGGTTGTTATATGAACATGTTAAAAGAGAATCCCATGTAAGATGCAAGACATAAAATTTACCGAAACACTGGCACTACACTGCTCAAGTTGTCAATCTTGACGGGTTGAAGCAAGAGACTTGCCTTCTGGGCTGAATGGTCCTTGCAGTTGGCTGACGGCGGTCGTTTTCGAACTTCTTTTGAATTTTGGATCTCATTTTGGGCTCACCAAGTTGGTGAGCAACTGGTGAGCAACTGGTGATTCCAAACAAATTGCAAAACGGTGCCCACGCGCCTGCATTCTCGGGGCGGCTTCGGCAGGGTCTGCAAGGTTGCGAGTTTTGGGCCAAAGACAAAAAGCGGGGGCCTTCTCCTATTTGGCTGGGCTGTTCAAAGACATACCTGTAGTCCCCCTGGCAGAGCTGCACTGCCAAGTCAAACTGGCGCACCTGTGGAGGTCTTTTGAGGTGCTGAAGGGGGGCTCCTGAAATTCTTGGTGACTGCAATTGCAACCTCAACTTCTGGTTGCCACTGGGTGAGTTCTCCTTACCCATCGCATGGGCAGTCCAATCGCCCGAGCCCCCAGAGACTTGATATGAGGTCGTCCTTGGCCGAGGACGGGCTGGGCTCAGAAGTCGCAACCCGCTCATGTTTCGTTAGGCTGTCCAAGGGCAACTCTTCCTGACGTCTCCTGAAACCTCGTATCCTTCCATTTGCTCAAGATGTTTTATTTCCCCCCTGTTGATTTTAAATGGACACTTTCGCTACTTGACATGTTGCTTCATTTCTTCCACACACACACCACACACACACACACCACACACCACACACACACACACACACACACACACGCAATTCCCCCCTAAATGTTTTTCACATTGGACCTTGTTTTTGGGCTCACGGAGCCTTGGGGGAAAACACGCGCGAGTCGTGCGGAAGATTCCGACACGTGCGTTTCCAACGACTCACAGGGCCGTATTCGCATCTGGTCAGACGTGGCTACAATCGGACGTGGCAATAAAAAGTTTTGCTTGTCAGCTATTTGCTTGCAGGACCAAAACGTATTGGCCCACCAATGGGGCCAATCACAGCGTATCCGATTACCCGTCAATGTTCCGGCTTGGGATCCTCAAGGTTTGGGATTTAAAGGATGTTGGCCGTACTGCCTATCGCGGAATCGCTCCCGCAGCCGCTCAGTGGAACGAATTGTTCTCTACAAAACGCAAGTCCATGGAGCTCATGTTGTGCCCCGGCTGCCTACACGAACCCAGCTGCTTAAGCAGAGCTGGATTTTGTCGGGGGACCCCGCTTCGGGGCTGAATCGCAACCATTTTGCCTTCGACTTCGCCAAAAGCCGAAATGGGATGGATATGTTTGTAGTTCTTCCCGGCCCCCAGCACGCAATTTCGAGAGCGTCCAAGTTGCAATGCCCCAGGAAAATCCGGCTGGTGGACGGGCGGGAACACCAACTTATTCGACAAGTCTATTCATCCGGGGTGAAGACGATAGGATTGACTAGTCGGGGGACTTGAATACTTGCAGTGACTCTCCACAAGCCGTCCCTTCCAATTTGCTTAAGGGGCTAATTACGAAAGTCACAAGCTCGTGATTTGAAGAATCGCCAGTCTTTCCGTGCACGCAAATGCTGTCTTGCAACTTGCTTGCCTGCCTGCGCCTGCTTGCTTGCCGCGTGAAGCCAAGGGAAACCGTACCACATCAGATGGATGTCGGCTTGTGCTGGTTGCGCGTTGTTGGATCCTAGGTAGCCTCCTCGCTCCCCCCAAAACGGTGAAAGCCAAAAGTTCGGCGGTGGCCACTGCCGTGGCCCACTTTATGCGGCCATGGCCTTTTCTACCGCTTGCAGGATCTGCGGAGCCAGGCTGCGAAGGAGCCAGACGTCGTCCAAGACAGGCCCGCGACCACCCCTTTCTGACCGCAGGGCCCAGGAAGCAGCCTGCTTCCGGGCAAACCTCAGCAGTTCACGTCCTTTTCTTCCTCTGTGGCGGCCCAGGCCCCAAAACCTCTTCTCCGCTCGGCCTCTCACGGTCGAGGCTCAACGAGTTGCGGTAAGAAGTGGAAAGGGGGTGGCAACCGCCAGGGTGAGATGATGGTCCATCACCCTGCGCAATTGTTTTCAGTTATGCCCAAGGGACCTGGCTTGGCGACCAGCAATGCCAAGATCTTGTGGAGCTTGCCTGCGCTTTGTCGCTTCAAGCGGTGTTTTGCTTCACTAACTTAACCACTGCAGACTCCGCTTTCACTCTTACCACTACCAGCCACGGCCAGGCCTCTTAGACTTGTCTCCGGTGTTTCTTTGTTGGCAAATCAAAGTGCCCAGGGGCCTCATTGCCCAATGAAGGCTACAGTCAAACAGCGCCACACAGTGCCACATGCCTTTTGCAAGGTGCACAAGAAGGAAAACCAGCCGTCATTGCAAAGCTGGCTTTTCACAAAGACAACCGGGCCGGGCCGAGCAGGAGTGCAAAGGTAGACCAAGCTATGGAGGCATGGCAAGGGGCAGCCCGAGACCAGTGCTCCCCCGGCCACTTGTGCTCTAATTTCAAGAAGATCCAGCGCAGCCAAGTGCTGCCGTGTGCCCACGGGCCACACAACAGTTGTGCTGGATCACAAGAGGCAGTCAACAAAGTGATCTGATGAATATACAGGCTTTGCACCGTCATCCTAATCAAGCCTCTGAAGGGGTCCGTAGACTCGTCGAGGACCTTAAAAAATGGATGTGCTTGTCCCTCAAAGTTTTGCAACTCTCCTACAAGCTGTTGCTATTTTGAGCTCTGCTCTACTGGCGAAACTGCCGACTGCGCACTTAGAGCACAATGCGCAAAATAGTCAGCAACGTGTGTGTGTGTGTTGTTTGGTTTCCCTCGTCTTCGTTTGGCTTCACTTAGCTTCTCTTCAGCTGACACGGCAACGTCCCCTTTTGAGGCACCGGTGGCAGGAAAACCCCTTTTTGCGCAGCACTCAATGAAAGGGGCTGTAGTGGTGCGGGTGCCTCAGCAGATAGGGGATGGTGCACATAGACAAGGTGCGCTGGTTCCACGCGCAGGTCACTGGACACAAGGCAAGGGGGCTCGGTCACCAAGAAGCCCTTCCCTCCCCCCTTCTAACGGAGCCGGCGCTACAGCTCCACAGGCTTTCCACATGCCGTATGTCTTTCTTTGCCCGATATACCGTGACTTGGTAGAGCATTTCGTTCCGCTTTGTCACACACAGGGGTGGCATCGGCCTGATACACCCAGGCCTGTTGCTCGGCGCAGAGATCAACGAACTTTTTTTTCCGGGGACCCCCCCCCCACAAATGAAAAGAAGACATACTGTGGTTTTTGTTTTAGGTTACCTTCAAAAAAAGGGCGCCCGGGCTCCGGGAAGCAGGTCCAACCGCCAGTTCCCGAGGTGCCGTGTGGCGATGCTTCTGGCCCACGCAGCGGCGGTGCGGACCTTGTCCAACCTGACGCAGGCACTGCCTCTCGTTTGAGCGCAGCTTTTTGCGCGCACACACGTTGGCATCGTCATAGGACAGCCACTTGGCGCCGCAGCCCAGCTGCGAAGCCGTGCACTTCGTGCACCTTCCAGCGCGGGCCGCGCAAGTGGGGGAGGGAAAGCTCAGCGGACCGGGGTAACCAATCCAACCTTGAGGTTCCGAAGCTGATACGGCGACCCCGGTGATGCCGTCTTGTGTGCTTATGGGTATTCATAGGGGGTAGGGGCAAGGGAAGTTGGTAGTTTCCTTTTCAGGGATTCCCTGCAAGCAAAAAAGGGCCCGTGGCCGCTGGACTTTTGAGACGTCCTTGTCTTGTCAGCCGTGTTCCAAGGTTTGGAAACAGGTCGGTGAATAGTTGTGTTTCGTCTTGTCAGCCGGCTTCATGATAGCATGCCCCCCGGGGAATGATAATCGGTGCTTGTTGCGTGTGTCAATTTCGCGCCGCGAATTGCTCACCTACAGATTGACTACTGCTTAATGCGAAGCCCTTGCAAACCTTCTTCTGTAGAGCAACCTCCTTCGTCAGGCAAAGCCTCAGCTTTCGCCGTCCCCCATGTTTGCGGCGTAGATAATACTCCTATCTTCCTATATCCTGGCTGCATTTCGTTCAGGGTAGGTTCAAAGGGGAAGGGTGACCTTGGGTGACCATCGTCCTTGCCCAGGCAAACCCTCAAATTTTTGGACATCCGCCTCTCTCTCGCGCTGGGTCCAACTGCCCCCACACGTGACATGTGCCACGGTCAAAAGACCCCTTTACTCGGGATGGTCATCTACCTGGTTGTGAGGATCCTCAATGAAAGTTCATGAAAATTGGAAGGAACTTCCGGCCACAGCTACTATTGACAGCTGCTGTTTGACACGATAAGGAATTGGCAAACTGGGAGATGGCAGGGGAATAACAAGTGAAAAAAGGCAGCCCTCTGCAGTTTGGTGAAGGCTTAGCTTGATCGCGACGCCTGGAAGCACTGAGGCCCACCGGCATGGATGTGTACACGTTTCGCAACATGAGTTGTAGGTGCAGCGCCTTCGCAAAGTCAGGTGGGGTTCATGGCAGTCACAACACTTTCGCAAGGGTACAGATCGTGGCAGGCACATCGCTTTCGCAAGGTCACGCACAGATTTCGCGGCAGCCGCAGGATTTCCGCAAGCGCTTTCGCAAAATGAGGTGCACATTTCGTGGCAGGCGCGCAAGGTGAGGCGCAGGTTGCATGGCAGGCGCAGCGCCTTCGCAAGGTCGATCGGTAGACCGATAGATCGATAGATAGATAGGTAGATAGGTACAGACACAGAGGTAGATAGATAGAAAGATGGATACATAGAGCCGGCAGGCAAGTTAATAGATAAATAGACGGATAGAAAGATAGAGAGAAATGCAAATAGAGAGAGGGAGAGGGGTAGAGAAGGAGGTTGACAAAAAGACGGAGAGATAGAACGATAGGTAGATAGAAAGATAGTTAGCGAGATAGGTAGACAATATAAAGAGGGAGGGAGAGAGATAGATAGAGAGAGAGGGGGGCACAGATAGGTGGTAGATAGAGAGACAGATAGCTTGATAGACACATATAGATATAGCGAGAAAGGCTCAGATAGAAAGAATAGATAGGTGGACAACTAGATAGACAGACAGATAGAAAGACAGATCGCTAGGTGGAGAAATAGACAAATGGGTAACTTAGATAGACAGATAGATAGTACATAGACATCTAGATAGATAGATAGATAGATAGATAGATAAACAGATGGATAGATCCAGATTGAGGTTGGCAGACATTTAGATAGGCAGACTGCTAGAGACATAAACAGACAGAGGGAGATAGACAGACTAGAGAGAGAGAATCAAGAGGGAGAGATAGCACGATAGAAAGACGCAGAGACTTAGAAAGAGAGAGAGAATCAAGAGGGAGAGATAGCACGATAGAAAGACGCAGAGACTTAGAAAGAGAGAGAGAGAGAGAAATGAAGAGAGGGAGAGATAGGCGTATAGGTAGATAGATAGATAGATAGATAGAGAGATAATGTAGATAGACAGATAGAGAGAGACAGAAAAAAGGATGAGATAGAAAGGTGGATAGATAGACAAGAGAGATAGACAGACAATTGGAGGAATAGAAAGGTAGAACGATGGATAGGTAGATGGATAGGTAGATAGAGGAGAGACAGAGCTAGGCAGCGCAGCAGGTAGATATAGATAGGATTGTTTGGCGGGTGGAAAAACAGGTAGACGAGAAACAGATAGATAGAGAGAGGCAGATAGACAGACAGATAGGTTGGTAGATAGATAGGTGGATAGATAGATCGGACGATGGAGAGATGAGATAGACAAGTGGATAGAGAGGGAGCTAGATGGACAGATAGACAAAGAGAATAACTACAAGCCCCCTCTAATGGCTGGCCAATTGCCGGCACATCGATTTTGGGCAAGACGATGTGACTTTATGTCTAGGTGACTGCAAAAACAATTTGCTATTAAGTATCACTCATGTGTACTTAATGCAATTTGTGGGATTATACAAGTGACCTTCCTGGGTCCTTTGGGGGGGGGGTTTGCAGGGGAAAGGGGAGGCTGGCAAATTTGAGGTTTGGAGGCAAGTTTGAGGTTTGGAGGGGTTCTTCAAAAGCGTGTCACGGCGTGTCACGGCGTGTCGGGGGGTGGCGAATTGCTGGCACATGTGCGTTGAGCGGTCACTTTTTTGGGATGTGAGCGTGTCACCAGCGTGCCGCCCCTCTTTCAACAACAGTGACTTTTCACTGCACTTTGATGATGGAAAAACATCTAAGTGACTACAAAACCATTTTTGAGCAAGTGCTGGTCAATTGCCGGCACGGGGGGGCCTAATAGGCAGACAGGTAGGTAGATGAATGGATAGTTAGACAGACAGAAAGACGGACAGATAGTCTGCAATCGAAAAGAAAGAACAATGAACGAGCAAAACAATGAAAGAGACAAAGGGAGAAGTAATTAAGACAAATAAAGAAAAAGGGAGGGAAGAAAGAAAGAGAATCAAGAAAGGGCGGAAGGAACGAAAAGAAAGGACAGGAAAGGAAAGGGAAGGAAAGAAAGCAAGAAAGGAAGAAAGACAGACAGAACGATTGAAAGAAAGACGCGATGAAAAGAATGAAAGAACGAAGCAGATAAAACGGTTAAGTCAAACAAGAAGGCCATGGCACACGTCAACCCCGAACGTCCGAGGTTCCCAGGGGCATCTTCGTCGGGGGCAAGTGGGGTGAGGCGAAGATGGAGCGCTTCGGCAGGACAATTGGGGCGGACGGTCACAACAAGCTTGCTAGAGTGTCCAAAGTCTTTTTTTGGAGTGGGTACCCCTGTTTGGATGGGTTTCGACAGAAGCAACACGTAAACCACATAAATTGAGTTGGCGAGTTCATAAGCGCATCGCATGTTAGTATCCCAGATGTGGGCCAAAGTTTGCAGAGCACGAGGTGCCCCCAGAGAGAGGGAGAGAGAGAGAGAGAGAGAGAGAGAGAGAGAGAGAGAGAGAGAGAGAGAAAGGGGGGCTTGGCTCACCCAGGCCTCCTTAGAGAGGCTAACCCGCAAGTTTCAAGCACAGGGGGCTATAGAAATGCTTGGCTCTTTTCCTGTCTAGGAACCTGCAACAGTGGCAACTAATTTGACGGTTTGAACCAAAGGGCTGGCCCAACCCGGTCACTTCCAAAATGCAGCCCGAGTTTTTGTTAATCTTAGCGCCGCCCCCACGCATGTGTTCCCCTTTGTTGTTTGATGTATTTACCTGATTGCCTGTGGCCCTGCGGTAATTGGTATGGCGGGCTTCCAACATGGAGGTCGGAGGGTGGCCGCCTTGACAGCCCCAGAAAGGCTGTCGGAACTTTAGGGGCCTAAGAACTTCGTACGTTCTCAGAGCATTTGCAGGCCCCACACCTGCACACCTTTTGTTTTGGGGGGGTTCTGATCTACAACCTGGCTTAGTTAGTGGCTGAATGATAGTTATATAGTCTTGCCAAAGTCTTTGCAAGCATGTGGGTTTACAATCGGTTTTGAGCCCTGTTTCTAATTCACGGATAGTTAGAAACATCGCCTTGTTGCCCCAAGGCTCTCAGAACCCTGCTGGGAACCACCTCTTAGGTTCTGAGAACCGTTGCGCAAATGTTGGAGTTCTCAAGCCTCCATTCCCACAGATGGACCTGCTTGTTGTTGTGTGTTTCTTGGAGGGGGCGCCTGCCCATTTTGGGGGTTCATATCTTGGGAAAAAAGCATATACACCCCCTACACCACAGACGCAATGCTAGTTTCCTTTTTGTTTTCCTTTGCGATTTACCTGGACGACCATGAAACATGAAGGATAGGAATCCCCGGAAAATACTCTGGTCCTTTGGATCAAGTCGTCCGAAGTCTAAGAGACGCACTGAAACTTTGAGGACACAATCCACCAGTTCATGGTGGTTGTTGGGAAACATTTTACATTTTTGGTTGTGGTTAAGTGGGAAACCCCCACTTAACTGCTAAGATTTAATTTTTTTCTCCCCAAACCCAACGTCAACCAAGAGTTGTTCGTTGTTTATCAACCATTCCGTCTGGCTGGTGGAGATCGGCATGGATTTTGTCCATGACCTCACGTTTTTTTTCCCCCCCTTTTTTTTCCGAGGTGCGAGCAAGTCTTCGGAACCCGTGGGGTGACATTTTGGGAGGGCAGGCTGGGCCAGGGTTAACCGAATCACCGGATCTGACCTTTTAGGGGTGTTTTCCTAGGTCTCAACTCCCGTCTGGGTGGTTTGGGTGGTTTGGAGCGTGGTTTGGTGGTGAAGGAGGCGTTTCCCATTTACCCTCTAAAAGAACAAGAGGTTCAACTCCAAACCACCAATCAAAACCACCGACTAGAAGGAAGCTTAATTTTGGCGACCATTGCTTTTGCATTTTGCGTTTGGGTCCGGCTGGGCAGCTCAGATGTTCCGGGTTACTCCCCATCTTCACGCCACCACCTGAGTCGCAGGAATCAACCACTGGTATCACAGAAGGGGGTCCACATCGAATGGGCCCTTTCCCCCTTACAGTCGTAGCACTCATACAGTGCTGCTTCCTGCTCAGTTGCTGCGCCCTCTTCTCAGCCCAACACACAGAGCTTCTGCAGCGAGCTTTTTCCAAGCAACAACGGGGGGTGGTTGTAACCCAACTCGGAGCAATTCTTCCTTATCAGGCTCCTCAAGTGCTCATGCATAGAATTACGAATGTTTGACCAAGAAGGACCATTATATGCCTTTGAAAAGAACTAGTGAACTGCCAACAAATCCCTGAGCATCAAAAGAAAATAACAACATGATTAGATAAATAGGTGATTGACATGTATGAATACATGAATGAATCGATCAACAGAATACACAAAGACAGAACTAGATAGGAAACTATTCTTTGAACAGTGCTGTGCCCAAAGAAGTTGCCTTGTTGTCATCCGAATGTGGGGCCCTTGGGCGTCCCTTTGGGCTTTCAGCTTCCCTTCAGGCAACACTTGAAGTCTACCTTCAGTGCTGCCCCCAACAAAAGACCCCCCCCCCCAGAACAAAAGGTGCTGCAGATCTAAGATGTGTTTCCTTCAAACCGTGCTGAAGTACAAACTATCAGCACATTGGCCCACAACTTGGGGACCGCCCCGCCATCGGGGGTCAACACTTTCTGCAACCACTACGCTGGCAATGCGCACCCCAGAGCTTGATAGCCCGCCGCTTTGTTTTCTGTGAATATTGTGAGGCCCCCCCCACCTCCGGGGGTTGTGAGCAGGGAGCTTGGATGACTTAAGTATCCGTGTGGTACTGCCAATGCTTAGTTTAGTATTACCAGAACCTAGTTTGTTGTTGCTTAGGCTAAATTTGGTATTGCCAGGACTTGCTCTTGGATTCCCAGTGCTAAGTTGTGTAATGCCTAGTCTAAACTTAGTATTGCCAGGCCTTACTTTTAGATTCCCAGTGGTTACTTTCATATTGCTTTTTAGCATTGCCAAACAGACTTACTCTCAGATTCTCGGTACTTTCTTTAGTATTGCCTGTCTAAATTTCGTATTGCCAGAATTGCCACACCCTAAAAAGCTTGGCCTTGAAGAGCCCCAAAGAGGGGCAACCGGTTTTTTCTCGCCTGTTTGGCCTTGTTTCTTTCAAACATCAAGGGGGCTAAATTTGGTTTGGCCCGCTTGCAAAATGGATTTCCTAGCTCTAAGGCCTTTACCCCTTGAGCTGGGAAGTGCTTGGTTAGGTGAACCGCCCTGTAGACGTAAGCGGCTAAGGATTTAAGTTTGGAGATTTCGTAACCCCCTCCAAAAAGTTGGACATTCAAGCCACCCCCAACACAGTCATATTAAACAGGATCAGGGACTCTTGTGAGCGACCCCCTTTGTGTGACTGCTTGCATCTGCGTGCCCTAGTTTTGCGTAAAGACATGTTCTTACGTTTCATGCATGGTTTGCCTCTTGGGTTGACTTGTTTGGCCCGTTGTTGTTGCCCGGGTGTTATTTTCCGGCGCAACAAACTTGAGACAAACCATGGTACCGAAGCCGCGGACACTTGACATTGTGGCAACCCATGTTTGAACCAGGTGCGACATGATGCGGTGCATGGAAGGGAGCTCTTTGAGCTAGAGGGGTATCCCAACTTGCTTTCTAAAGCGGGGGCCTTTCGAAGCTACCGATCGGGGAGTAAGGGCATAGGGTCTCTTGATGCGGGGTGAGCTGGCGAAAAACGTTTTCTGCCCAAAACGTCTGACTCCCTGAACCCCGAAGAACTCTGAACACTTGGAAATGGAAGAACGCTGTGATGCAACTGCTCCACTCAGGAAGTCAGTGAGAAGACTTCTCAGATCAAATTCGGCTTGACGTTTTGTGTTATTCTTCCTTGGGCTTTGGGAGTCATACATTTATGAGGCATTCTGCGTGTTGTGTCAAGTGTTGCTTGCAGCGTGGCGCTCTCTGCCGTCTGCTTGGCGCGGGTGCTTGGCTTTGCCAATGTGTTGCGTTTCTTGGGGTCATTGTTTGGATCTTTCTTTTCTTAGGGCCCCGAAATGGAGGTTTCCGATTGGCTCCCTTTTGCAAACCCACAATCAACACCCTCGCACAGAGGCACACCTATGTTGACTAGTTTTTTGGTTATTAAAGTCAGAAACTGGGGTTTATTTTTTTTCCTTGTTGGTTATTAGTACGGCTCAGGTTGTTTTTGAGGGTACCCTTTCTTGGAGTGGGTGTTGAGGCGAGTCAAAAGGAAATTAATTGTTTGGTGGCATTCCTATTGTGAGACCCCTCTGGGATGCGGCGGGCTTCTCGACACCCGAGCCTCAGGCCCACCATAAAGAACTGCAGGCAAGTTGCAAGTGGGTCAACTGCAAGGCGGCCATGAGGCAAGGGAAAAGCAAGCAAACCTGGATGTTGCAGTGGTTCAAGCTGAGGATTTTGCTTCAGTGTTTTAGCAGGATGTTTCAATTTCTTTTAGTTGTTGAGTGGCACGCTTTTCCCCCTCTTATGCTCGCCAAAGTCCGAATCATCAACACCAACACTCATTTTTCTGGCCAGCTTCGTTGGCCAATGCTTGCCATGTGGGTCCGCGTGCGTCAGCAACAGTTGCCCAACTCTCGTCCATAGTCTCGTGTCCGAAATCTGGGGCTATATGTCTTGTGGAACACCCCGAGCAAGGTGTGTCGCCGAACGCTTTCCACGCCGGCTGCAACGCATATCCCACCAGATCTTGTTCGGCGCTGGTCACCGTTCTCGAAAGGATTGGTTGGAGAGCATCACGCATCCGGGGACCCTTGGAAATAGTCAGACTGCCGATGAGTTTTCGAGCTCGCCGAGTTGTTGTGGGCGTTAGACGAGCGAAAGCCCATGAGGATGCTCTATGAAGAATGGGTTTTGGCGAACAATGGTGAGTAATTATTTGAAGCTCTTTTCCTGCAGGTTGCCTTAAGCGCTGCCCAGATGAATCAACCCCTGGTGGGAATCCGCTTATCACTTTTTTGGGGCTCGACATCTCCTAGGAAAGGGATCAATTTAACAGGTTAGGTACCGGGAGGTGGGTAGCTCGCTGGCGTTCCTTCTGAGCAGACTTTGGCAAAACCCTTCCTAAACACACTGCCTGGCTTCCTTTGTGCACGTGGCCCTCTGAGCTCCCAGCAAAAGCCATGTCTTAATGTTGACCTACGATTAGTAAATATACCATAAATAATGCTAACCGATTTCCCGAAAACATAATAAATAATATACAATAAATAATGCTAACCGTTTTTTCCCCGGTGAAAAAATATGAAAAGATGACAAGATAATATAAACTAATTCAAAAACACCTTCCCCCCACATGAATGAATGAATGAATCCTCAGTTCCCCAGCTCACAAATAGCTCTTGAATTCCCATTGGGATCCATGCAAAATGCAGATTTTTATTCAGGGTCAGTGCTCCCAACCCTCATCCCCCATGGGATTTGCATGGTTTCATAGTGAATTTATGCAGGGATCATGCAAGAACAACCTGATTTACCATGGGATTTGCATGCTTTTGGCATCTAATCTTTATTCAGGGTCAGTGCTCCCAACCCTCATCCCCCATGGGATTTGTATGGTTTCATAGTGAAATTATCCAAGGATCATGGCAGGGAAACCTGATTTACCATGGGATTTGCATGCTTTTGGCATCTAATCTTTATTCAGGGTCAGTGCTCCAAACCATCATCTCCCACGAGATTTGCATGGTTTCATAGTGAATTTGTCCAGGGATCATGCAAGGGAAACCTGGTTTACCATGGGATTTGCATGCTTTTGGCATCTAATCTTTATTCAGGGTCAGTGCTCCAAACCATCATCCCCCACGAGATTTGCATAGTTTCATAGTGAATTTTGATCCAGGGATCGTTTCATAGTGACTTTATCCAGGGATCATGCAAGAAAAACCTGATTTACCATGGGATTTTCATGCTTTTGGCATCTAATCTTTATTCAGGGCCAGTGCTCCAAACCATCATCCCCACCAGATTTGCATGGTTTCATAGTGAATTTATCCAGGGATCATGCAAGGGAAACCTGATTTACCATGGGATTTGCATGCTTTTGGCATCTAATCTTTATTCAGGGTCAGTGCTCCAAACCATCATCCCCCATGGGACTTGCATGGTTTCATAGTGAATTTATCAAGGGATCATGCAAGAAAAACCTGATTTACTATGGGATTTGCATGCTTCTGCCATGGGATTTGCATGGTTTCATAGTGACTTTATCCAGGGAGCATGCAAGAAAAAACCTGATTTACCATGGGATTTGCATGCTTTTGGCATCTAATGTTTATTCAGGGTCAGTGCTCCCAACCCTCATCCTTCATGGGATTTGCATGGTTTTTGACATTGACCCTGGCAGCAAGGGTACTCCCCATGAACCCTGATGCACTAAATAATAACGAGACCCTGAATAATGCTAACCATTCCCCCATAAAAAAAATCGATATGATCCCTTTATCTTTATTCATGGTCAAGCTTTCCATTCCACTTGGCTCATCCCACACTTGATTCTAAATTTATCCAAAATCCACAAATTTATGGGATCCCTTTCTTTTAAGATTCCTTTTAAAAAAAAACCATCAAAATCAGCACATTGACCCTGGCAGCAAGGGTATCCCCCATGAACCCTGATGCACTAAATAATAGCCAGACCCTGAATAATGTTCACCAGATTCCCCCATAAAAAAAATCGATATGATCCCTTTATCTTTATTCATGGTCAAGCTGTCCATTCCACTTGGCTCATCCCACACTTGATTCTAAATTTATCCAAAATCCACAAATTTATGGGATCCCTTTCTTTTAAGATTCCTGTTTAAAAACCATCAAACTCAACGCATTGACCCTGGCAGCAAGGGTACCCCCCATGAACCCTGATGCACTAAATATTAACCAGACCCTGAATAATGCGAACCAGATTCCCTCTTAAACAAAAATACTGATCCCTCCAATTATCTACATTTGATTCAGCAAGTTCAATCCATGAATCATCGCTCAATGATGACATGGCTGCAACGCTGGCCAAGCTAATGGTCACTGAACCCGAAGGAAATTGATGCTCAACACCTCCTGAAATGCATGCACATCCATGCACAAATCATGAATGTCATGCTGAACCCCGGAGATGCATGCTAACCCATGCAAAATCTAATGGTTTTCATGCTGAATCCCTCTTGAAATGCATGCAAACCCATGTAAACCCTCATGAAATTGATGCTGAACACCTGAAATGAAGGCAAAATCCACGCACGCCCTCATGAATGTCATGCTGAACCCTTTCTAAAATGCATTTCATGCTGAATCCTTCTTGAAATGCATGCTGACCCATGCAAACCCTCATTTAATCCATGCTCAACACATCCTGAAATGCATGCACATCCATGCACACCCTCATGAATGTCATGCAGAATCCCTCCTGAGATGCATGATAGCCCATACAAAATCTAAATGATTTCCATGCTGAACCCTTCTTGAAATGCATGCTAACCCATGCAAACCTCATGAACATGATGCTGAACACCCCTGAAATGAATGCAACATCCATGCACACCCTCATGAACGTTATGCTGAATGCCTCCTGGGATGCATGCTAGCACATGCAAAATCTAATGATTTCCATGCTGAATCCCTCTTGAAATGCATGCTAGCCCATGCCAATCCTCATGAAATTCATGCTGAACACCTCCTGAAATGCATGCAAATCCATGCACACCCTCATGAATGTCATGCTGAATCCTGTCTAAAACGCATGCCAACCCATGTAAGCCTTAATGGATTTCATGTTGAATGCCTCCTGAAATGCATACTAACCAATGCAAACCCTCATGAATGGCATGCTGAATCCTTTCTAAAATGCATGCCATCCCATGCAAATCCTGATGGATTTCATGTTGAATGCCTCCTGAAATGCATACTAACCCATGCAAACTCTCATGGATGTCATGCTAAATCCTTTCTAAAATGCATGCCAACCCATGTAAATCCTAATGGGTTTCATGTTGAATGCCTCCTGAAACGCATGCTAGCCTTGCAATGCGCTTCATGCAAAAGTTGTTGGCCCAATACTACTTTAGAATTTGCACAAAACTAAATTAGAATCCACCCCAAACAAAATAAGAAAAACATGCCCAATACTACTGTTGAACTGGCCAATGCAAACCCTTTTGGAATCCCTCTTGGAATACATGCATGCGCATGCAAACCCTCATGAATTTCCTTCTCAATCCCTCCTGGAATGCCTGCCAGCCCACTCAAACCCTCATGAATTTCCTTCTCAATCCCTCCTAGAATGCAGGCCAGCCCATGCAAACCCTCATGAATTTCCTGCCCAATCCGTCCTGGAATGCATGCCAGCCCACTCAAACGCTCATGAATGTCCTTCTCAATCCCTCCTGGAATGCATGCCAGCCCACTCATGAATTTCCTTCTCAATCCCTCTCATGAATGTCCTTCTCAATCCCTCTTGGAAAACATCCAGCCCATCCAAACCCTCATGAATGTCCTTCTCAACCCCTCGTAGAATGCATGCCAGCAAGCCCTCATGAATTTCCTTCTCAATCCCTCTTGGACAACATCCAGCCCAAGCATGGATGTCCTCAACCCCTCCTAGAATGCATGCCAGCCCATGCCTTCTCAATCCCTCCTGGAATGCATGCCAGCCCACTCAAACGCTCATGAATGTCCTTCTCAATCCCTCCTGGAATGCATGCCAGCCCATGCATCGCAGGCTTCTTTTGCGGGGCGCCAGACATCCGTTTAATTTATTCACCGGAATTTGCTATGCCAAGACGTGACAACACTATGTTTTTGATGGGTCGTAAAGCGATGAGCGAAGGGCCTCCGTTTGGCACAGGGTTTGCGCTGGCCAAGGCCACAGAGTTTCGAAGCACATGTGGTGGCACGCTCCCACTTGCTTCGCGCGACGGGCAACTTTTCGCGCGTGACCGCAGTTGAGATGGCACGCAGAGGGCGTTTGTGAGGAGAGTCGGCTGGGCGTAAGAAAGGAAACAAGGCAGACCAGGGCGAGGGCTAGCGCGTGTCAGTTCACTACACTAGCAGCGCTGCTCCTGCCAGGTGGCTGCAGGAGAAGTGCAAAGATGGGGTCGACTATGGCCACGGTGACCTGGCGGGCTTGCTAGTTTCCAGCCACGAGATCTGTGCAGGGGTGGTTGTTCCAGCTTGGCGTAGTTTGGTTGGCCTTGATGTGGCCGTCGCCTGCATTGGCGTTGTCGCTTCCGGGAAATTGCCGTCTGGTTTGCAGCAAGCCTGGGGCCAGTCAGCCGCTGTTCTTTTCCATTCCTGCGCTTCCGAGCTGACAGCTTGGCTTCGGACAACAGTGCGTCCCCTTTAAGGAAGTTTTGCAATTTTCGCGCATGTTTGATCTTGTTGGGAAGGGGGGCACCTTGAGATCTGCTGAGCCCAGGCCTGTGCGATCAGGAAACCAACACGGGGCCCAGCATTGCGCCGGAGGAGATTGTAGACCATTGGGAAATGGGCAAGCGCCTTTGGCAAATCCAGCCAAGTCTCCTATTGGGATTCCTGCATTTTAGGCCAAAACCTGGCATGACGAATAAGTGTTCACAGGCAATGCATGCATTCACGGGGCTTCTGTATCTTTTGTTGGATGTAGGTTTGTTTGCAATCCGGGCGTTTCACCAGTGCGGGCGACGCAAGAGCCTGGTCAGTGATGCTAGTGTATTTCTTTGGTCACTCGCACATATTGCTTCAGCAACTCTGCTTGCCTGCGGGGTTGAGATTGGCTTGCCCACACGTTCTTGGATTTTATATCCAAAGTTGGTGGCAAATAGGGCGTGCACGGAATAGGATATGTGTGGCTGCTGTTCCTGCGCACGGCCAAACGGTGTTTTGCTTGGCGAACAAGGGAAGGAGCGGGGAGGTTGTGGTGTCCTTGATGTGTTTTCACTCGGCGCTGACAACGTCAGGGCTTGGGGCTTGCGCTCAAGGAGAGGGTTCGCAACGACTTTGCGACACGCCTTCTCAATATTGTTCTTGCAGCTTCTTTTGTTGCAGGTGTAGGCCAAGCCTTTGACGTGGCGAGGGCTCGTGCGTAAGCTGCTTTACCTATTGATTCCAACATATTTGTACCGAGTTGACACGATCAATATGTTCGTGGGCCCGCTTCAGGGAACTTTGACGGGAGCAACGGCGGGCAGTGAAAGAGGAGCGATGCCACCTGAACATGGCCTTAAAATCAAGAGAGGCCGTACCTAGTGAAGTGCCGAGGTTGTTGCTTTTGTTTGCGTATTGTGGAATTTGGCTATCCACTCCAGCTGAGGCACACGCAAGCTGGTCAGCGGTGGGAACAGAAGCAGGCTGAGCCTTGGGCCAACGTGGGCGGGGCCACGTGAGGCACATCCGGACGCACAAAACTCTCACAGAACCAAATAAGGATTTTCCCCGTTCCATAACAACCCTCAAATTCCAAAGTGTATTTTTAGAAAAAAACGTCCTTTATAATAAAGCACCTTATGGAGTTTAGAGCATATTTTGGGAGGAAGCCCTTTTACCCCTTTGGAAGCCCTTTTCGGCCGCGCGTGCGTACTGAGCACTGCTTTTCGCACACACCTCCTTTCCTGACTGACTACCATGAACGAATAGGATATGAGATCACAAGCTGATGATGTTCGTTGCCACTGATGTTGGAAATCACGGTGCGTGGCGCGTGGAACAATTCCCGTGTCATTTTTCTGCGAGGGGTGCAAAGAATTGCCTTCCTACGCCAAAAACGTGCTTTCTACGCCAAAAAGCGTGTGTTCTACGGAAAGAAACATCCTTGCTATGGGTTGTCTACTGGTTGTTTGCGGTTTGTCTACGCCCCCTGTTTTCCGAAGTAGACATCGGTGGAAATTCGAAAGCACTTTTGCTGGGGTATACTGCTCGTTTTGATTGAAACTTGGCTTGAACCCACTAAAAGTTAGTCACTTTTAGCGGGGGATCTGAAAGCAGACCGGAAACAAGTTGACGTCTTCAGGGCGTTGGTGTGACCTTAAAGTGCCTTCGGGGCTGAGGGAGCAACGCAGGATAGTTCCATCAAAGGTCATGCTGTGGATGGACGAAATCAGTTCGCACCGCCTCAGAAACCATGAGCAACCATTGCTTGGGTGGTGCAGGATTTTTTCCATCCACAGTAGTGCTACAAGTTTCCCCCTATGGCTGACTTGGCTTTTGAAGTACCCTCCCACCAATTAACATGGAATCCGACAGCGGCTCCCCTTTACAAGAAAAATGGTCCAAACCAGAACCCCCCAACAAGCCTCCCGAACGTCAGGTTCCACGTTGGTACGTTGGTGAGGGTACCTCCCTTTTTTCCCTAAAGTTTTTTTGTGAGGGGTTCTATATTCATTTAAAGTGACTCGCCTATTGCCAAGCCATAGCCTGGATGCCTGGCCCGGCTCTCTGGATGGACGGGTTCATTTGTCTCCCTTTGTCTCCCTTCATTTGCCTCCCGGTGTCTCCCAGCCTGGATGCCTGGCACGGCTCTCTGGGTGGACGGGATCATTTGTCTCCCTTTGTCTCTTGTTGTCTCCCAGCCTGGATGCCTGGAAAAGCTCTCTGGGTGGACGGGTTCATTTGTTTCCCTTTGTCTCCCTTCATTTGTCTCTTGTTGTCTCCCAGCCTGGCACAGATCTGGGTGGACGGGTTCATTTGTCTCCCTTTGTCTCCCTTTGTCTCCTCTTGTTGTCTCCCAGCCTGGGTGCCTGGAAAAGCTCTCTGGGTGGACGGGTTCTGTCTCCCTTCATTAGTCTCTTGTTGTCTCCCAGCCTGGGCCTGGCACGGCTCTCCGGCTCTCTGGGTGGACGGGTTCATTTGTTTGTCCCATTTGCCTGGCACGGCTCTCTGGTGGACGGGTTCATTTGTCTCCCTTTGTCTCCCTTCATTTGTCTCTTGTTGTCTCCCAGCCTAGCCTGGATGCCTGGCACGGCTCCGGGTGGACGGGTTCATTTGTCTCCCTTTTTCTCCCTTCATTTGTCTCCCGTTGTTTCTTGCACGGCGCTAGCCGCACGCTAGCAAGGCGCTAGCACAGTGGTCAGCTGTGACCGGTTCCCAGTTACGCCTCAATGCAAGTTTGCTTCCGCTCTCCTCGCATGCAATTGCCGTGGAATGCGATTTGCTGTGCAAACGGGAGACAAAACGGCTGAGGCAAGAAGGCAGGGATGCCTTGTACCGAGCATACGGAAGAATTGGGTTTAGTATTTCCCTGCGAAAGCAAATGCTTTACTGAATCGGTACGAGGAGTCACTACGATAAAGGCACTTTAGAGCGTTCTATCGAGCAACAGATTGCTCAATACGAAAGACACTGTGCAGCTAAGCAAGAAGCGCAATGCTAAGATGAAGCATTGTAAATGCTGGAGACGCATCCGATACTGATAGTATGAGTAGTAGTAGCAGCAGCAGTTGCAGGCTCGCGCGCTTGCAACGTGTTGCAGAATTGCTAGATTGACCGCGCATGAACACTATTTTCCTACTTGGAACATGCATATAAAACACAAGCGTTGTTCAAGGCAGAGCCCAATGGAATAGCGCCTCACAGCCGGCTTCGGGAACTTGATTTATGTGTCGCACAGGCGTGCAGAGAATGTAAACTCCATGTGAACACATGTTTGACAATTGTGTTGCACATGTTTCTCCACATGTGCACACACGTGTGTTCCTCGTTTCTGCGTGCGCATAAATGTGTGAGTTCACATGTGTGTGTGTTCCCTTGTGCACATGCGTGCGTTCACGTGTGCACATGTGTGTTTCCCACGTGTACACATATGTGTGTTCACGTGTGCACACATGTGTGTTTGCGTTCCAGGAGAACACGGTTGTTATCGGATGCACATATTTGTGTGCACGTGTACACATATGCGTGTTCCACGTGTACGCACATGTGTGTTCCACTTGGACACACTGTTTGTGTTTCAAGTGTGTTCCACGTGAACACATTACTATGTGCTAGGTGAACTTTTTTGCATCTGAAAACATTTTTGCTCTCCAGGGGTACACACGTATGTGCTCCAGAAAACGCATGATGGTTTTCGAGGTGCGCACATGTGTGTGTGTGTGCGCTTTAGGTGCACAACTATGTTTGCTCACGCGTGCACATATGCGTGTTCCACGTGTGCACACATGTGGGCTTTAATCGCACACGCGGTGTTCCTGGACACATATTTGTGTTCAGTGGTCTACATATGTGTGTCCCACATGTACACACATGTGTGCTTTAATTGCACGTGTTTGCGTTCCAGGTGAACACACGTGTGTTCCACGTGTACACACATGTGTGTCTGAATTGGGCACGCGTTTCATTGTGTTCCAAGTGAACGCATGTGTGTTCCACCTGAGCACATTAGCGTGTCGGGTGAACACATATGTGTGTTCCAGGCGTACACATGTGTGTGCTTTACAAGAAGCACACGTTGGTGTTCCAGCTCAACACATGTATGCGTGTGCCGCAGGTGAATGTATATGTGTGTGTTCACGGGCACATCTGCGCGTGCCGCGTGTACTGTTTCAGTCGTATACATATGTGTGTTCCACATGTACACACACACACGCACACATGTGTCTGAATTGGGCATGTGTGTCTGAACTGCCCATGTGACCGCGAGCTTGCGCAGCCAGTATTTCTTAATCAGGGGCCCTATTTTTCTCGGGCCCAAGCAAAACGAAAACCGCCCGCTTTGTCAAAGCCCAAAGGCTTTCAACGGATCGGGCCCCGAGGAGTGGTGCCGCTTGAGACGGACACCGGTCTGGAGGGGATTCAAGGACTGCAGCCTCTTTTGTCCATTTTCCTCAGTTGTCCTTCAAAAAATATATGGCCCAAACCTAGGTCCCCCAGTAGTGCCCTTTTACTATTTTGTGTGGGAGGGTTCCCCTACTAACCTCTCTACTGGAGGACCTAGAAACCCCTACAAATCGTGGTTTCTTTCAAAACGATGGTTGAAGAGAATGGGGAAGCAAACCTTAGAACTGCTGCGCTCTTTGCATGGAGTTCTTTCGACTGCATGTAGTGGCACGTTTTTCACCTCCTTTTTGTGAAGGGTTCTCCTCTAAAGATGGACAATCAACAGCGAAACGCAATGGCCTTGCGTGTTTTTGAGCGTTCCCTGTTCACATTCTTTGCATGCTTGTTTCTGTTTTTGTTAGGTGTGTTTGTTGGGGGTGAGGTTTATTTTTGGTGGGTGCTGCAAAAGTCAAGGTTTCTTGCTTGCATGCCTGGATTTAACGAGCCTTGCTCTTTTTTTCAATGAGTCCTGCTTTTATGTCGTGATTTTTGTGGGGATGTGATGCCGCATAGGGTCTTTTTGCCATGTGATGGATGGCCAGTGTTTGCTGCTGTTTAGCAGTTTGTATTTTTGTGACGGTTCTGTCCAATTTTTGTCGGGGCTGCAAAAAGTTCAAGATTTGGACAGGAGGCGTGTTTTGCTTGGGGGAATGTCAGCCAGGGTGGGTTGCAACATGAACTTAGAAGCCACCGATCATTGGTTTTCACCCCTTAGGGAAGACCAAAGAAGGCTGTTTACGCAACTTAAGATGTTTGAGCAAGGGGTTGGCCCAAACCTGATTTGAAAGGCTGTTCTATAAGTCCATATATGAAGCCAAGGCCAATTTTGGACTCTTTGGGGCTGGTGTGCAATTTTTTCAGGCGTGAAAGTCGACCTTCTCTTCTCGTCACGCGCTTACGATCCATCTGCGCGGGCAGACAGCCGCAGCTGTTGTGTGACAACTCTAAAATGAAAAAGATGTGAAAGAGGCCAAAGGTGAAAAATGCAATCCAGAATTGTTTTGGTTTCAATCCCAAGACAGCAGCAACGTTGCTCAAGAGCCAACCCTTAATTGACCCATAAGCGCAACGGGGTTCGCACCAGGGGTTCATTTGTGGAGACACACATTCAGCCTTTAAACCAGGGGGGTCATACTGTGGATGAACGAAATTTTGCACCACTTTGAAACCATGGGAATCATACTTCCAGGGTTTGTTAGGTGGTGCGAGATGGATTTCGTCCATCCACAGTACCGCTTCAAACAAAAAGATGTACAAGTTTAGGAGCTGTTGAGCCCCTAATAAGAACTCCAGGCATTGGGTGAACCAACATGGCGCGTCTTTTTGTTGGGGATCGACTCAAATTCCAGGGGTTGATTCCTTGTCCATTCTTTTCAATCATCGTTCTTTTCAAAAACCTGCCGTTTTCCCCGGGTTTCTGGAGGTTTTCTGGAAAGAAGGATCCCTGGAAAGAATGGGGAAGGAACCCCTAGAAAAATAGCTGCGGGTGAAATCCACAAGCAAGGGGCCCCCGCAAGTAAAGACACCCCCTCATGGCAATCAACAACCATTGTTCAGACCTCCTTTCGGCTTCCAAACAATACCAGAGTAACACATATATGGCTCTGGCTCAAGGGCCCCTGGGTTAGCATTGTGCCCATCTCCGGGAATTGCAAAGCATAGAATCCGAAAAGACCCTCAAATGGATATTAAAAGTTGATGGTTTTGTTCCAGGCATGCACTTCCCCCCCCCTCAAAAAACATAGAAATGAAAATACACGCCGAAAAGGAAAGCAACACTACCACTTGGCAGAGTCTTGCGGCTTGATTTGGACGAATGGCAATATTTGCAACGGGTTCGGCCGTTCGGCCCGGGTTTCGAAACCCGGGCCCGGCGTTGGGTTCCAGGACTGCTTTCACCTCTGCCAGTTTCGGTTCCGCGACTGCGGGCAGCTGCCGGTCGGCAAGTGCCGTTCCAAAGCCGTCTTGCTGAGAAGCGTCCCTTTTTAGCTTTGGTTAGACATAACTTCCATTTGCGTCTCAGAATATGTCTTATTTTTCCCTGTTGGTGTTAAAGGGAATCCATCACTACTGAAACTGTGTGTATTTTTAGCAGACTTAAGCAAATGGAGAGTTTGGTTAGAAATGGATGGGTTCCACTGGCTCAGATTGGCTTTATGACCCATCTACTTTACAGAAAGGACACCACTGGTCTTGCTGGTTGCCAGTCAGTTGTCATCGAATCGACCTGACATGAGCTGAAATTGTTCTCCAATTTTCGGAACAATTTTTTGCGACCCCAAAAGGTCGCCTTTTGTCGGGCCCTTTTTCTGGACAAGTGAGGTAGGGAATGAACAGGAGTGAGCCGATGGATCAATTGGGAAGCTAGGGCCGATTTCGGGTGATCAGGGGAAACCCGGAAAGAAATGAATGCAGGGTGCGGCTCCAGAATGAAGCAGCGTTTTCAATTCATGTTTGGAGGTCGGGCAGGTTGCCACTTCTTCTTTTTTCGGGTGAATTCCTTGAGCAGCTTGCGCAATCCAAACCACTGATCACCGGAGAACCTTTCCAGCCGGGGGTGAAGGCAGGAAAGTTCAGCCAATTGATGTTTTGCTCAGAGCCATCAAGTTGCGCTTGTCGGAAGCACTAATTACGAGGTACTCGCATCATGTTGCGAATGTGTTGCAAATTGATCTGCGCAAGTTTCATACTCTTCGCTTAGCGCAAGTCACGGGTCACAAATTGCAATCACCTGAAGGGGTGCGCCAGGCTCGACTGCAAAGTCTGCAGCATGACCCCTTTCGAATGCGATGGCATTCGGAACAATCAGAGCTACGAGACTTGGTGTCGGAAAACTGCGGCTTTATGGGCGACGGGGCGGGACCCATGCTCTCTACCTTTCTTTCAGATGCCCCTTTAAGGGGGAACCCTCTTGGCATTTGGAAACCAAGAAGGAAACCAAGAAGGAAACTTTGTTTGAAAACACCCTTCTAAGGATCCTTTGTGACTGTGTCCTGGTAGTGGGTTCGGGTGCCCTGAGTTTGTGGGGCTGCCATTAGAATCACATGCCAAACCTATGTGTTGTTTTGGCCGGGGATTGGCAATGGACTGAAACTTCCTCTCTTCTGTATGGCTAGCTGGTTGGATCTTTGGACGTCAACTTGTTTGGAAACAGTGAGTTCTCCATTGGACCCACAAGAAAATAAGCTTTTTGCAGACGGGTCAACAGCAACCAAGTCTTTTTGTCTTTGGGCGGGGTATGGGGCGGGGCGATTTTGAACTCCCGCCGATTTTCACCGGGTCGATTTGAATCCCAGGTGAGAGGTGAGCGCTGTCATATTGTGAGACTTGACACTCAGATGCAACCCATCCTCAGATGGTGTCCACTACACGGACACGAACACCAGGTATATAATCGCTATGTGTCAACCCGCCACTTCTTGAATGTTTGTTAAAGACAAAGCAAGTGGTTAGTAACCTAGGTGAAATATATCCTACTTATTATTGTTCCCGTGCTGTTCGCAAATCCAAGATCCAAGTTGCTGCAGCGAAGGGGAAGCTTTCCAGCGTTTGTCTGAGGACCAGTCCGACAAAGTAGACTGGAGTGTAGCCCCTGTCAGGCGGGGTTATCCATCGCGGGGTGCAAGAGTTTCGTCGGATTGGTTTCGTGAGATCACGGATTCGGGGAACCCATTTTGGCCTCTCACCCGGGGATCCACTTCTGAAAGTTTTGGAAACGTGATTTCCTTGCAGATCGTTTCGGAAAGCCGACACGTATTGAGCATAAACGAAGGTCAGAACAAGCATTGTAGAAAACTCTTTTTTAGCCCCCATGTTTGCATACCAAGCATTTCCTTGAGGGTGTTCCGGAAATTGTATTTAGCACCCAGAACTCCCCAAGCAAACACCCCCAACCATTGGGGTGGGCATTGGTTGTTGCGGCACGCCTTTTGCGGGATACCAAGGGAGTCCCCTTTGAAGTGATGCAGTAGTTATTTGCATAGGGATCTCAGTTTGGCATCACAGATTTGGGGGATTTCTGGCAAGGTCCCAGTTTATCGCAAATTTTGGGAGATTTCGACGTGGCCAGGAACCACTCCTTCTTCGACGCGTGCGTCTTTGGGTGCCAGAGCTATGTACGCTTCAAGAGCGCCGAGGAGGGTGCCGGGCCTGCGTGCCAGGCGCGGAGATGGGTCCGGCAACCCTCCGGCATGCAACCCTTGCAATGGGGCATATATATATATATATTTCTATGTATATTAAAAAAGAAAAATGAAAACGGGCTTTCATTAACTCACAGCCAATGCAAAGACACAAGCATGCAAGCCTCCAATTCAATCACCACCCTCTGGCAAATTTTAAGGGGCAATATCCATACGGAAGCAACACATGCCCGGCATGCAGGTACAAGAGCAACAACACGTGCAACTTAGTTTACGAGTTCACCGATTCGGAGAGGGTTTTGCCAATCAGATGCAACAAGTTTTTATTGGAAGAGCGGCTCCGAGTTCAGAAAGCGATTTTTTGACCTTGACCCAAACCCGGAATCGACGCCAAGCAGAAATGCGTCCAGCTTTTTCAATAATGGTGGTAATTTGTTGAATGGGAGGTAATCTGTTGAAGAGAAATGGTTCCAACCCATTGAGCATGGTTGCTCAGTGGACAAAGCTCGCGTTCAATTGGAATTTCCCGTCAGGCGCCTGGCAACTCAAAAGTTGATTTTCCGGATCTCAGGCAACCCTTCCAAATATCCGCTGGAACTCATGGATATGCTGGTCATTAGTTTGATTCTGTTTCTGGCTTAAAGTCAGAAAATGGAATCAGCGGTTTGCGTTTAAGCCACCACTGAATGGCGGGTGACTTTGGTAAAATAATGAGGCCAGTATGGACACTGCAATGTAGCGGGGTCCTTGGATTTCTGAACGGACCAATCGGAGGACAGTTGGGAAGCGTTGGCCATCCCTCCCCAGCCAGGTTTTGGCTTGGATCACGAGTTTTCTCATCCACAAATAGACTCCGAAGCCGGACATTCGGTTTCCTTGTCACCCCAACTTAGGAGCCCACATGTTATGTCACCTTTGGAGGGTCAACGGACACCACAAGGGCATTGATATTCGGTGATTTGTTTTGACAGACTCATGACTTCCGCTGGTTTGGTTTGTTTGCTCAGGGAAATGGATTCCTGCCAGTGAACATGCATCCCTATGGGGTCATCTAGAAGCGTGAAGCGGTGTTCGGTTCTCTGCTCCATGTGGGATTTGTTATTTCCCAACGGCTGGTTTACCAGGAAAGCAGCTTCCCCGCAATTGGTGGTTTCGACGTTAGGGGCTACCTTCCCCATTTGGTTTTGCCAGGAACTGGAATTCAGTTCCCAAACCAATCCAAACCACCAGGCATCCCCTTCGCTTTTTAGCCTTTTAGTGTTTAGTGGTAGTTTCCATTTAACCCACTAAAAGTTAGTCACTCGCGGGGGATCTGAGGGCAGCCCAATGAAGGGGAGGCTGACAAACAGTCACTGGCAAACGGACGCCTCAGGAGGGCTCGCCGCTGATGCAGCACCGCACCCAACTCGAGCGTGGATCGGCGTAGGCTTAGATGGTCGCCGTAGAGTCGCTACAGGGGGGATATGGATTCTCGTCAACAAGGCTGTGACTTCCATTTGCTTAAAATATTTTCCCTTGTTGGTCTTAAAAGGACTTTCTCACTACTGGAAATATATATATATATATATATTTTTCCAGGGGTCTTAACCAAATGGAAGGTGAGGGCCTTGGAGTTGCAAGGTGAGCGTTTTGATAAACTACAAGGCCATACAAGGCCCCTTTGTCTGTTGGCCGTTCAGCAGCCTCGATACGCGGACCCCGTGCGGTAAAAGGCCGCCAGCAGCGTGCCAAATCGAGCAGAGTGCTTGGACTTGGTCGGGTGGGTGGTGTGTTGATCTCTTTGCTAAGTATGAACCAGAATCAAACATATCGTGCGTTGGTCTGCACCAATAAAACCGAGGTAGGCAAGTGATGGTCGACATAGTCTTCAGCAGGGGGGCATGCTCAGTACCCAAAACCCTACATACCAACCAACAGTGTCCACCTAGTTCAACTGCACGCCCTGCAGGTTGCAAAGCTGAAGCTGGACACAGCCCTGCAGGTCGCCAACTTCCACGGCCCCAACCGTCAGCCCAAACCACACATCAGCAGCCATAGGTGTCCTTTTTGGTCATCATCACAAGCACAGCCCTGAGGTTGCGGGAGTCGACTGCTCTCTGCGTGCTTCTCTGAAAACCGTGGTCGCTTCCTTTTCTGCAAGTTGCTTGAGATGTTGCGTTGTTTCCCGCTGTTGGCGTTCAAGGGAATCACTCCTGATTTTCCCAGGGGGCACAAGCAGATGCATGTTGTGGTTTCTCTTCTTGGGTGTTCGGTTAAGTTAGCCAGTGGTTAACCTGGGTGAAAACCTACCCATCTTTGTCCCAGTTTAGCCTGGCTGCAACTCGGTTATGACCTAGGCTGCCAACCACTTGACTTGGAACCTCTTGCTGTAGCCTCTCAAAACCTTGCGATCGCCAGGACTTAGGGCCTTTGATAGAGCCCGAGGCAGGCAGTCATGTCGAAACGGTTGCTTCCCAGATCCGGGCTCCTTTGGAGGGATGTCTTGAAATCAACTGCCCCAGCCCCAAAGAGGGTGCCCTAGTTCTTCCTGGAAATCCTCTGGAGCCTGTTAGTTGCTTCGTTTTGTTTGCGTGTTGGCTTTATGAACCTACCACAGCAAGGTGCCATTGCCATCCTTGGGGGGCCCACTGGCGGGGCATTCAGGATGTCATCCATCCCTGGCCAAGTAATTGGCAAACAGTTGTCAAGCAATTGTCCAACACCAACCCAGATTTTAGCGGGTTAGCGTGGTGATTTGTCTCGCCGGCAGAGGCGTTCACAGTTTGGCAACCCGAGTTAAGTCATCCCAGGAAAAATCCAAGGCAATGGTGCGAAGGACGAATCCAAATGCCTAGGCCCCCATCCTCAGAGTTCTTCACATTGGCCCCTTTTGGGTCCAAGATCACTTTGGGTTGCCCTTTCATGAAGTTTGTTGAAAACACTGCGAGTCTCTTGCTTGTTTTGGGAGCGCGGCGGTCAAACAGGACCCCAGCTCTTACCAGCCAACTTAAGGGGTCTCAGCCGCCATTTGTTTGGATAGGGCAGGCCATGGCAGGCCAAAATATGAAGCAGAATCTGGACATTTTGCGCAAGGGTGTCTGTCTTTTTGTGAGGTTGCAATGTTTTTTTTGGTGGTTTCGAAGGGACACCAAAAGGAACACCATTTTGCTTGGTGGTTCTGTAACTTTGTAGCTTTTTTAGGGTTTGCAGTCTCCATTTAATCCACAAGTTGTTCACAGTTGTTCACTTTTAGGAGGGGATCAGAAAACGGAGAGCCCAGTTTGGTGTGCCCCCTACAAAAAGACGAGCCAATCATATGTCTGGTGTCGGGCCACCGCCAGGTATGTGTCAGCCAAGTGGCGCGCCAGCCAAGTCGCGGTTCTCCGCTTTTTCACGGCGGCAGGTGCGAAGTAGGTAGTTCCACTGGTTGAGATTGTTTGTCTTGTTCCATGTGCTGGGGAAACCCATCGATTTTTCCCAAGGGCCACCTATGAGCAACGGGCGCTTCACCGGTGTAGTTCTCTCTTTAAGGTGTGTAAGCGTCTTCTGTTCGGTTTTGCAAACAGCGTCCTGGCTGCTTTTTCGAGCGCTGGATCCAACAAAAACGGCAAGTGCAAACTGGACTCATCAGTGCGAACAGGTGGGCCGCAACGAAAACATGTTGGTAAGTGAAGGTTGGTAAGGGTCATTGCCAGCCATAAATAGGTGCGGACGACCTGGTTGTTGGGCAGACTGTTTTCATACGAGGTGTTGGTTTTGACTGAGGTGTTCAACGGTCATCAGTGTTTGTCAGTGGCGCTGTGGAGCCCATTCATCGAAAGGTATAGACTGAGCTTCCTTTCACAGGGATGTTTCCCCGGTGTCTTTCGGGGGACTGGTTTTGGCCGGGGATGGTCTTTTGGTTCTTTGGAAGTTCCAGGGACCCACACTGGTCAGCAAGGGGGCATCTGCAAAAAAATCCGAGCTCACCCGCCCACATGAAAGGAGCGGGTCCTTGACCTGGGCTGTTCAAAGGCAATCCTTTGAGCCGCGCAATGATCTAAGGGTTTGTGTATTACACCCTGGGATTACACCTGGGAAATTACTAATTTCGGCATATTTCCGGATAAATAGCTGTGATACTTTGAGCCATGTTGGAGCATTTCCCAAGGATGTGTAATCCCAGGCTGTAATAAAACAGCCATCTACGAAAGGGTTTGGTCCTCTTGGTAGTGGCTTTTCAATATGGGTTATGGAGTAGAATTGGCCGACGCTCCATTTTGACAGATTCCGGTTTGTTTGCTAGGGATCCCGGGTTAAAGCCAGAGACCATTGGGCATGTCAGTGGCTCCGCTGATCATTGCAACCCAACAGCAGCCTAAAAATATTGCATCACCCAAGGATTGCATAAGGTTGGCAGCGAATCTGCAGGCGAGCACCCCCGCTCTTTGGGAAGATCATATAGCACGCTTCGCAGATTCGCAACTACCCTTTTTCTTTTACCACCTGGCAGCAAAAAGAACAAAGCTTCACGAGATGAAAGGGCACTTTGAAATGGACCAAGGTTGGAATTGCCCTGGATTTGTTGGGATATCACCTCTTCTTGAGGGTTTGAACACGACCTTACAAACCTACCCCGGATTTGGGAGTGTCCCCAGATGATACGCTAGGTCGAGAAGCAGTCTCAGAACCTTTCCATGTCCTTAATGGAAGACGGTCAAAGGCTGAATGACGTCCCAATTTTTATCCAACCGCTGGTTTATGGTTTCTTTCTTCAGACAGCTCCCAAGACGTCCAAAATGGCAATGGGTTAGTATATGGACCTATACAATCCGGGCTGCCATCACCTTAGGCCTAGGAAAGAGAATATGTACGGATATTCGTTTTTGTTTCGTTCAGGTTGCAAGGTGAAATGGAGCGGACCTGAGAGGGATGTGTTCATGTAAAACGAGGCCCCCTGAAACTCAATTCAGCGTGGCTGGGGCAATGAAGTGGCCCAGTCATTGCAATCGACTCGTGAGACACAACTCGTGCGGCAAAATGGATATGGATACATTGAACTACCCCAGGGTACAATTGAACCACCACGTATAAGCACAAACATCTCGCGAACTGTCAGGGGTACCAACTGCTGGTTCATCACCCAAAAAAAGAAGCAGAATAATATCTCTAATAATATTGCTGTGTATGTATATTTAAACCAAAAGAAAAAGGGGGAAAACACACCAAACAAAAAAAACGAGCGGTGCCAGTTGCTTTCACCTACCCCTGCGGCGTCTGAGGCGCCGCCGGCCAGCGAGCCAGAGCGGCAAGACTCGAGGCCCACACGCTGGGTGGGTGGGCGGGTTGGCGGGTTGGCGCGCGGAGTGACGCCGAGGTGCCCAAAACCACTTTGCCATTTTAGTGGGTACACACACACCTTCCGTTTGCTGAAAAGAGCAAATAAACATATTTGTTTGAAGAAACAAGAACAAACATCTCCTAGGTTTTAAGAGAGAGAGAGAGAGAGAGAGAGAGAGCTTCCATTTGCTTAAGAATATATTTGTGTTTTTTCCCCTTGATGGTTTTAAAAGGAATTTATCACTACTGGAAATGTCTTTTTTTTTTTTTTTTAAAAAAAAAAAAAATATTTTCCAGGGGTCTTAACCAAATGGAAGTCTTTAGTGGGTACACACACACACCTGTTTGGCTTTTCCAAGGGCAAGCTGAAAGGGGATTTGTTTGTATTTTATGGATTTGTCTGGCCAAATAAGTGTAGAATACCTTAAACTCCAAAGAGCACTTCGCTTGCTTGCCTGTTGTGGGGTCTGGCAAAAGTCCCAACTTGCGTTTGGCCGTAACTTCTTGTGGTGTATTTGTTGTTGCTTCTTCTGAAGCCAAGACCTAAAAGTATATCAGAGCCTCCCGACTTTGTGCACATTTAATCCCACACCTTGGTTCCCCGGGAGCCTGGACGAGCTCCGGCCACCGACTTTCAGCGAATCGACTCGAAATGACCTGAAAAAGGGTTTTCTGGTTTGGTCCATGTTTCCTTTGGTGCATTTTGCCAAGGGATGTAAGGACTTTAGCTTTTTGTCAACTGGGCTTTCCGTATTAAACCACGAAAAGTGAAAACTTTTAGCCGAGCAGATTTCGCCACCGAGCTTCGTGGCGCGCTTTGGGCGATCATCTTTTTCCAGATCCTGAGTGAGCGTTCCTTTCAAAACTTTCAAAAGGGACTGGGTGGGTGAGGGAAGTGCGCCGTCCAATGGATGTGTCTGGGGGCTTTTAGGGGGATCCTCGAAAGCATTTTTTCTTGTGACTGGCCTCTTCTGTTTCAAGTTCTTTTCCACTTATATCCAAAAGTTTATCCAAAGGAAGGGCCGATCGATTTGGTCTGTGGGCAGGTTCAAGCCCAGGGTTTGATTGTGAAGTCTTCCTTTGCCCTACAGGAATGAGAAATGGAGTGATCCCTATAAACCATCCCCTATTGGTCTCTTAGAAAGGTCCCGATAGAGGAGCATTCCCGCTCATTCCCCGCTGAGCACCAGCAA